GCCTCGACCATCAATGATCCTTCTCCGGCTTTGTTTGTAGGACTCTCCATATGATTATCTTCTCTCCCTCATATCCCTGGAGCTGAAATTCCTTCTCTGGATTCTTCTCTGCTTTCTGTTCCACTTCCTCGACGACGCCTTGCTCTGTGAATGGAACCACTTAACTTGGGGGACAGCTGGAGGTTGTGTTTGTAGACATGACCTATGAAACATCTCATGGAAGGCACTGTACTGGACAAGCTACCCTTTTTCGGCTTCTTTCAACTCAAATCTATCTTATCACTTCCTTGTTCGTTCTTCCCACTTCTTCTTGATGCACCCTTGTCGGTAGTTGCAACTACAAGTGATTGCTTGAATTAGGATGCATTTTTTAATGTAGGTTGTTTCCTGCTCTATTTCTGTTATCTTTCTTCCTTTAAACATAAGGTCTGGTCATGTCCTAGTGATCAGTAGGGGTTGTAACTGCACAATGTTGTAGATAACGGGGTTTCACAGCCCCAGATAACAGTCTATGGTATATTTCTCTGACACGACTAACTCACACTTCATTTGCAATTACTCGAATTGTATTTCAACTCCTTCATTGATAAGTCTCTCTGCTCTGCACAATGTTGTAGATAACGGGGTTTCACCGCCCCAGATAACAGTCTATGGTATATTTCTCTGGCACGACTAACTCACACTTCATTTGCAATTAGTCAAAGTGTATTTCAACTCCTTCATTGATAAGTCTCTCTGCTGTAAGTGGTGGAGTTTTAGAAACATATCCTGGTGGTAATGAGGAGGGAGGTATATTTTCTCCATCTACTTTCTCATCTTCTCTCACTTGGTAATATTGTCATCACCTTGTCTCTTTCTCTTTTTCTGTAAATTTCTCCAACACCTGGAGGTGCTCTTTTTCGGTTTGATGGCAATAAATTTACCCATCTTATTCACTGGCACTTCATTGTACTCAAAGATTATCTCAATTGACTGCATTCATTTCTTAAGGTCATTTGGATCCATACCTCCAATGAACTCTCGTAGATCCACCTTTATTCGAAGTTTTTGTGCCCTCCATATGTCGTCTCTTCTCTTGGCCTCCTATGATACTGGATTCCAAAGCGTCGCAGTGATCCTTTTGGAATGGATTTAGATCCTCATCTTTTTCTCCCATTCGACTCTCCAGATCACGATTGAGGGTAATCTCTCCCTTTGTGCCATCATCAAATTTTGCAAGTCTCAGCTGCAGTTGGTTGATCTTCCGCTATATCTTTTTCCGGGTAGGTTTCCACATGTGTTTTCTTGGTCGCATTGTTGTGTGTCATCATCAAATTTTGCAAGTCTCAGCTGCAGTTGATTGATCTTCCGCTATATCTTTTTCCGAGTAGGTTTCCACATGTGTTTTCTTGGTCGCATTGTTCAGGTTTTGAGACTTGAGAGAGGTGGGTGAGGATATGAAAGAATTTTTTTTTGGAAGTTGGGG